AAGATGAAGGAATACACATTAGATTTTTTTTTTTCATTTTCTTGGTACCAATAAAATATCAATCCAGAGATATTGTAATTTGACCCAATAAAGATTTAAGGAAATTAACCCTGCAATTTATTACGCGCATCGAAACTAGTGAAATCAGGAAAGCAGAACTGATCTACAACAGACTGCACAGCTACTTTTTCAAAGAATGAGGAGTTAAGAAATGTTAAACGACTTGTTCAGAAAGAACAGAGAAATCACGCCAGGGCTGGACTCCAAGCCTGGCTTCCCGGCTTAGGCACAAACCATCTGCAGTGCTGGTGATTAGAGATGACTTTGGTGCTCATTAAGAGAGGGCTTCTCAGCGGCGACAAAAGCAAAAATTGACAAATGGGACCTAATTAAAGAGTGTCTGCACAGCAAAAGAAACTATCATCAGAGTGAACAGACAACCGACAGAATGGGAGAAAATTTTCGCAATCTACCCATCTGACAAAAGTCTAATATCTAGAATCTACAAGGAACTTAAGCAAATTTACAAGAAAAAGAAGAAACATTACAAAGTGGGCAAAGGGCAAGAACAGACACTTCTCAAAAGAAGAAATTTATGTGTCCAAGAAATATACACAAAAAAGCTCAACATCACTGATTATTAGAGAAATGCAAATCAAAACCACAATAAGATATCATCTCACACCAGTCAGAATGATGATTATTAAAAAGTCAAGAAAAAACAGATGGCAAGGCAGAGGAGAAATAGGAATGCTTTTACACTGTTGGTGGGAATGTAAATTAGTTCAACCATTGTGGAAGACAGTGTGGCAATTCCTCAAAGATCTAGAACCAGAAATACCATTTGACCCAGCAATTCCATCGCTGGGTATATACCCAAAGAAATATAAATAATTATATTATAAAGATACATGCACATGTATGTTCATACAGCACTATTCACAATAGCAAAGACATGGAATCAACTCAAATGTCCATTAATGAGAGACTGGATGAAGAAAATGTGGTATATATACACCATGGAATACTATGTAGCCATACAAAGGAACAGATCATGCTCTTTGCAGGGACATGGATGATGCTGGAAGCTGTTATCCTCAGCAAACTGACGTGGGAACAGAAAACCTAACACCGCATGTTCTCACTTATAAGTGGAAGTTGAACAATGAGAACACATGAGCATGGACGGGAATAACACACACTGGGGCCTGCTGGGGGACAAGGGGGAGGAAGAGCATCAGGATAAACAGCTAAAGCACGTGGGGCTTAACACCCAGGTGATGGGTTGGTAAATGCAGTAAACCACCATGGCACACGTTTACCTATGTAACAAACCTGCATGTCCTGCACGTGTGTCTCGAAACTTAAAATAAAACTAAAAACAAAACAAAGAGTGGGCTTCTCCAGGTGTCCGAATTGCATCAGTAGTTGCTACATTTTAATAATATCTAGTGAAAACTCATGACTTTTTTTATACTTCATTATTCAACTGGGATTTTGCCCAATTTGTTTAAGGTAGTTACTATCTTCAGGCCAATGTCACATCTGCGCTTTGGTATTCAGAGTAGTAGTAATGTTGGAAAGCATCGGGGGTCGTTTTGAATGGTGAAAGAGAATCCTGCAGAAATGAATTTGCTATGTTAATCTTAGCCTTGTTTTGTCTTTCTAGCCGATTTTTTCCCAATAGGTTAGAATCCTTCTGAGCCAATGCCGTAACATCTGTCTGAGAAAAAGACAGAAATCCAAGATAATGTATTTCACAATAAAAATTTCTCTCCACTGTTAGATAACACAGCAGACTAGATAAGACTAAACTCTGTATGCTATTATCCTTTTCCACCTAAAGTCACTATAGTTTTGCCTCATTCACCCGAGGTTCACACAGGAAAAGTGTTCCCCATGTCAACTTTGCATACAGGCCGAGACTCTATTCTGTTAAAGTCGCCTTCCTCACAAAGGTTCCAAAGCACCTACGTGTGAAAACAGAAGCCCTCCCAACGCTTCGCTCTCCTGAGGAGAGAGTTAACTTAGAATGACTGATAGGTTGCCATCACGAACGTGCTCACCGCATTAACACCACCTCCCACAAAAGGGTTTTTGAGGAACTCACTAAAAATGGAACAAGTTTTGGCTGGGCACGGTGGCTCATGCCTGTAATCCCAGCACTTTAGGAGGCTGAGGCCAGTGGATCACTTGAGGCCAGGAGTTTGAGACCAGCCTAGCCATCATGGTGAAACCTCGTCTCTACTAAAAATACAAAAATTAGTTTGGCATGGTGGTGCATGCCTGTAATCCCGGCTATTCAGGAGACTAAGGCACGAGAATTCCTTGAGCCCAGCAGGTAGAGGTTGCAGCGAGCTGAGATTGTGCTACTGCACTCCAACCTGGGGAACACAGTGACTCTGTCCCAAAAAAGAGGGCCAAGTTTCCTGACTTTACCACTGAATCCTCCTCCTGTGCTACTAAGGCCATTTCCCGGTGCCCGCCAGTGCCCGCTGGACACTCCGGCTGGCATTCTGCTTTTCTCATGGTCAGTGAGTGCGGCTCCCGGCTGCACACAGCAGCTCGGCTCAGCAGCCACTTTTCTCATAAGCACCTCTGTCTCAGATAAAACTTCTTGACCTTTAGAAAACTAAGTGTATTACAAATCTAAACATTTTTTACTAGAAAACAGTCTGTGGATAGGTTATGTATTTAAAAAATACAAAAGCAATCTACAGAAGCAATTCTTAACCTCCATATATGTAGTAAATACCACAGAAAATAATCCTCTTCCCCCAACAAAAAACTGTACTTGGAAACCTCTGATCCGACGCTAGGAAACCACGGGCTTTATTAATTATGTTTGACCAAATTAGTTGAAAAAATTAATGTTTATAAAAAATATAAGAACAAAAGTAAACTGTATTAAAACTGGTAAAGCGTAGGGGCCATGCTAAAGAAACCACCACCAAGGAGAAAACAAGCTTCAGCTCATCACACGGAACTTACCATTCTGGTCTGGTAACCTCTACGTCAATAACTGTTCCAGGCAGTGGATTCTGAAGTCTTCCTCCAGACTGAGCGAAAAATCTGGCGTTCACTCTTTTCTTCACCACAATTACCGTTAGTCTAGGGCTTAAAAATGATGACGAACGTAACTACATTTAGCCAGTCATATTTTCAGGGCACTCATTCATTCGGGTGTTCACATGCTCCATGTAAACAGGAACACACCCGTCCTGGGGCGTCTCACCTGTCCAGGTTGTGGAGAAGGATCAGGATTTTACTCGACAGGAGTAAAGACCAGGGATAAACGGTGAGAGGGAAACCAAGCGGCACCTGTGTCCGGTGACACGCGGTCATGTAGATGGTTTATCCACAGACCAAACACGTTACATACCTATCACACCAAAATGTTAAACCCTGCATGTCTTCAAAATTCAGTTTATAACAGTCTTCAGTGGGCGTTTTCTACCATGTAGAAAATATAATACTAACTCTAGAATCTATGCTAGGTAAGTGGATTTAAGTAGTGCTTTTCAAAATTACTGGTTCACAATGTATCAGGGGACACACACACACACACACACTCTCACACATACATACTACATATTCATATATCTTTTTCAGGAGTAGCTGCTTCATTTCATATTAGCGTTTCACTGGAGTCTCAAATGACATTTTGTGCAGACCCTAGGACAGCCCCATACTCCTTGGCCTACCACATGTCAGACGCATCCATACTAGAGGATGCCCTTTTCAGCCATCTGTCCCCACCTGGGTTCTTCAGGCGGCTCTCCTGTGTCACGGTTCATCAGGCTTCTCGGCCTGGACACATCTGTGCACGCTCACCTGTCCTCGCTGGCAGATCCCTGGCCCTTCTGCCATGCCCTCTGACCCTGCTGAGAGCAGCCCTGCACTGTGTGGTCTGCTCGAGTACCTTTCACATCCTTTTCCACCCGCTCCTCCAAGCTCACTTCAAATCCTTCTGAAGCAGCCACACTTGTACACACATAATCCACATAGTTAATCCACGAATTAGAACAGGTAGTAATTAGAACAGTGCTGCCAGGTAGTAAGCACTAGATAAATATAATTATTAGCACCTCCATCTCCAATTACCACGTTAGTTCCTTAAGAGGGCAGATACACTTGATTTCCAGCACTGGGAAGCAGAGAGTTTTATACAGTATGGACCTAAGTAATGTTTGACTCAGCAATTTTGTTGATGTTTTTCACTGATAATTAAACAGGGCAAGAAACTCAGCGAGAGTACTTGAGTAAGCAGAGGACATCTTCAGAAATGTCCCTCTCTGCCTATGTAGACTACTGCTGCCCAGCAACTGCCCGCTGTAATAGCTCTGAATATAACAAAACCACAATGAACGTGTTGAAAAAACGTACAGCCTTCTGTTTCAAATGCCTCTGCCACTTACAGAGATTAAGTTCAGCATAGGGCCTTGTTAGAAAGTGATTACTATCTAGGACTTCATGACAGCATCCAAAACAAGTATCAGTCTTGGGAACAGAAGGACATAAGGTGGATAATATTAATCCTGTAACATCACAAGAAACAATTTAGCAAATATAGTAACAGAAAAGCAGGTCACAAATATGCTGGCGTGACTTTCTGATTTGTTCTTGTATCAAACATTCTAAATCAGCTACCCTGTGATGCAGCTCTATAAAAGCTTAAAAGCAACATTTCAATTTAAAAGCAAACATTGTGGTTCTAATGATAACTTTTTATCTATCTATCTATCTATCTATCTATCTATCTATCTATCTATCTTGAGACGGAGTCTCGCTCTGTTGCCCAGGCTGGAGTGCAGTGGCGCAATCTCGGCCCGCTGCAAGCTCCGCCTCCCGGGTTCACGCCATTCTCCTGCCTCAGCCTCCCGAGTAGCTGGGACTACAGGCACCCGCCACCGTGCCCAGCTAATTTTTTGCATTTTTAGTGGAGACAGGGTTTCACTGTGTTAGCCAGGATGGTCTCCATCTCCTGACCTTGTGATCCACCCGCCTCGGCCTCCCAAAGTGCTGGGATTACAGGCGTGAGCCACCACGCCCAGCCAATGATAACTATTATACAAACATTTAAGTCCAAACTTTGCATTTTTTAAAAGTGAAGAATAATTCTCAGATATTCTACCTTTACATACAACTTGAAGGCTTTTCCGAAGAGAACTGTCTGCCATGTATTGAATACTTACTGGATACTGTGTGAAGTGCATTACGTATATTTTCATTTACTCCTTTCAATGCCTCACTTAACTGTTCCCCTCTTCTACAAATGAAAGCAAAGCTGGGATTAACCGAACTCTGATTTTAAGACATATTGCTCTTTACCACTGATCTCTACTGCCACCAATTACCAGCACAGTTCACAGTGTGCCATCTACTTCATGCAACAGTGTGCTAAGAGTCAGCCCAAGCAGTCGGCTCAGGTTCTTCTTCCCTGCAACACTGTGTTCCCACCTGCTGACGGAGCTGGGCAGGTGCACCCAGCAGCTGCACCAGGCTCTACTCTGCACACTCGGGACGACTGTTCACAGGTACTCATTCACTAGGGTGGCAACCTCCTCTTCAAGAGCCGTTTCCGCCAGTCCTTCTGGGAATCAAACCCAAAGGACCCTAAGAAACAGAGATGACCCAGCAAGGCCAAGAGTATGTACTCCTAGTAGCCCAACAATTCAGCTCAAGGGAATGTGACGAACTTGCACAATGACTTCTATTCATCATTTCTTGACAATCTTCACTTCGGGTATGAGGAAATGACAATGAAGACTAGAAAACACTGTGTGTTCAAGTAGTAAATCACAGGAAAAAAAGAGTAGGAAAGAAGCAGTCCAAGTTAGATCCTTCTTTACTCCCTGTGACACACACCACACCATACCTCCCCACACAGACAGAAAGGTCAAGTCAGAGAACAGTATAAAATAAGGCTTAGAAAGCCTGAAAACAAAAAGTATCATTATTTGACAAAATACAAGCATTAAGAGTCTTAAGGGAATAGGAAAGAACATTAACTTTCATTTTAAAAATATTTTAAAAATGCGTAGTCTTTTAATATGAAACACAACTATTTCAAAAAAGATAAAAACACTCCTGACTTTCTCTGAGACCTTCATGGCATCACATCTCATTTTAAGAAGCGTCTGGGATAAACACTCATTGTGTGGGGCCTTTTAGCATTGGCCAAAGATGACTCAGAAGGCCCTTAGTAGAAACCAGGAATGAGCTCTTGGTGCTTGTCCTTTTCCTACGTACCAGGTAAAATCAAGCCCCCGATGTGGCCAGTGGCTTTCTGAATCCCTCCTTTCTATAATGATACAAAGTGCTGAAATACAAGAATAATGGGTGTGTAATACGTATGTGCAAGCACACAAAACAGGATTCAAGATCTTCCAAATATCCTGAGAAGTTCAATCTTTAAATCTGTACTCTACTATGCACTTAGCCCTTAATACAACCGTCCCTGATTTCAAATCACTCACAGATCTGATAAAGAGAAAGAGGACTAGTTAATGTAACTTATTAAAACGGCTATCTTGCAATGGTACACATTTTATTGACTCTTAATGGCACTGATGGAAATGGCTGTAGGCGAGCAGAGGAAGACAAAAACCAATATGGGTTTCACAGGAAAACAAGTGCAGATCTGGATACTATCCTCGGCCATCCACATCGCTTACAGGGAGAAAGCAGAGGCCGGGAGTTGTGGCTTACGCCTGTCATCCTAACACTTTGGGAGGCCGAGGTGGTGGATAACCTGAGGGTGGGAGTTCAAGACCAGCCTGGCAAACATGGTGAAACCCTGTCTTTATGAAAAATATAAAAATTAGCCAGGTGTGGTGGTGCACACCTGTAATCCCAGCTACTCAGGAGGCTGGGGCTGGAGAATCGCTTGAACCTGGGAGGCGGAGGTTGCAGTGAGCTGAGATCGTGCCACTTCACTCCAGCCTGGGCAACAGAGTGAGACTCTGTCTCAAAAAAAAAAAAAGGAGAAAGGAGAACCACCCCCTGCCCCATGAGACTAGATGCTCACCAATCACCTTACTGATCAAACACTAGTCAAGTCCACAAGGAAATGAAACAAGTATTCAGTAAGACTGTCATGAACGCTGATTTCAATAGTGAATCCTGTGGATACCTTTGGATGTACAGAATTACCAGATACCTGCGCTCCAAGGTCTTAGGTAAGAAGGCCGATTGATGATTGGTAATGGTGTCTTACCGTGCTACCCTGTGAAGGAATGACCCTCTATACTACCCCTCAACACAGCCTTCTCGTGAAAAATTTCCAATAGATTTCCCTCTGCCCTTCCCATTACCTCAAAGGCCCTACTGTCCCTATCAAGTTAGCTTCTCCCTTACCCTTTCATCTTGTGATGCTAATTTCAAAGATGTGCAGTTTTAGAAAATGCTTTACAATTTGCATGCTTACTTGTAACCTCTACCAATGGATTTTAGACAATCCAGAAACTGTGGCACTTCGTAGTTCACCAGTGTTTTGAGCTGGCCGTCTCCTACGCCATCACGGTACACGATGATCCGGCTGGGCATGTACTCATTGCAGCTATTCCAAGCCCTCAGAGCCGCTGAAACAGGCCAGAGAAGTTTTACATCAATTCATGCCTACAACACAACTAGTCTGTTCTTCCCCAATTCTGGGCACATCAGTAACACAGTTCAGGGTAATTTCTGGAAGACCCCAGTTTAGACAGCAGGAAGGCAACCCCACAGGAGACTAACCTTGCAGGCAGACTTTGAGCCCATCTACCAGCTCCTGTCCTCTATCCTGAAATATGCAGCGTGAGAACCAGCTATTCAGAGAAAAACACAACCAGAATGAGAATGCAATTGTCTATCAATTTTTCCTTTCTGAATTATTCTATATTTATTTCACTCTTAACAATCTGTCATTGTAACTGCCTTAAAGACATCTGCTACCATCTCCAAATACTTTATAAAACCTTATACAGAGGGAGCAGGATACAGGAGATCCCGTATCAGCATCACAAACTGTCTGTTTTCATTACAAATCACTACCATGATTCCAGCTGCTGGGGAGAAAATAGGATTTAGTTAAATTTAAATACCCAGAGGTGCTGTCCAGGTTTACTACACCTAAATACACACAGAAGCACACTCATGGCTATGCTCTTGAGAAACCATTCATTGTAAGTTTCACTCTTCTAAAAGATAAAAGACCTTCAGCTCCATTCCTCACCTCTAGCAAACTAATGCAGGAACAGAAAACCAAATACCACGGGTTTTCACTTGTAAGTGGGGGCTAAATGATGAGAACTCACGGGCACAAAGAGGACAACAGACACCAGGGCCTACTTGAGGGTGGAAGGTGGGAGGAGGGAGAGGAGCAGAAAAAAATAACTACTGGGTACTAGGCTTAGTACCTGAGTGATGAAATAACCTGAACAACAAACCCCATGACATGAGTTTAGCTATGTAACAAACCTGCACATGTACCCCTGAAACTAAAAGTTAAAAATGATAAAAGACCTTGAAACATATCCATTACTAATGTCAACTACTAATGTGCCTTCAATTTTCATATATTACTATTCTTGGCAATTCCCTTAGTTCCAAGAAAAGCACTGAAAAATAATGTTATGTTGAAATACAAGTGACTGGGTAAACCAAAGTGGTTTTTCTACATGAAAATGTGAAACTACATTTCAGTGGCCAGTAAATATTATTAAACAAACACATTTTATTTTTATTTATTTATTTATTTATTTATTTATTTTTGAGACGGAGTTTCACTCTTATTGCCCAGGCTGGAATGCAGTGGCACGATCTTGGCTCACCACAATCTCTGCCTCCTGAGTTCAAGCGATTCTCCTGCCTCAGCTTCCTGAGTAGCGGGGATTACAGGCATACACCATGCCCGGCTAATTTTTTTTGTATTTTTAGTAGAGATGAGGTTTCTCCATGTTGGTCAGGCTGATCTCAAACTCCCAACCTCAAGTGATCTGCCCGCCTCAGCCTCCCAAAGTGCTGGGATTACAGGCGTGAGCCACCACACCCGGCCTAAACAAATACATTTTTAGAGAGAGTCACATTTAACAAGATGTACTTGCCAATACATATGACAAAGAAAAAATCTGAAATGCAGTTTGACTAATATAGGATGAAGGTCATTCAAGAGCTAGAGTAGGTCATTATCTTTCTTTGCTAAATGTGTTGCCATGTCTAATTGAGAAACTGGAAGGATAACAACGAAGAATGAACACTACTCCTGAACCTGCAGACCCCTGCTCTGTGTCCTCACTGCTACCCACAGCAGCCCAGTCTCACTCACCGCGTCATCCCTTCATTGATGCTGGCAACAAACCCTGCGATTGACCTCCGTCCAGCTGTGGTGTCATGGTAACAATCAATGCCAACGATCATCGCTAGCTTCAGCTTGAATACAAATGTGGTAATTTTAGATACAGCAGAGTACTAGCAACATTTAAAAAGTAAATCCACTTTCTTAAATACCAATTTTAAAACTGCATCTACCAATTAAATCAAACTCACGGGGATGTCCACCCTCCAAAGCTCTCCTCCCATCTTGCAATTCATCTGCAGGGCAATCTTTGTAGCAATGGCCATGACAGTTTGCTGTTTGCCTAAGGTTCGGGCCACCACACACTGACTTGGGGTAGGGCAATCTGTACACAGGTATTTTTTAATAGCATCATATTTGTCCTTCCGATTACTTGACAACAGACAGACAACCTAAAAACAAAGCGTCCTCGTTACAAAGAATCAGGAGACAGATGATTAAGAGTAAGGGAGAGGATAGGAAACTAAACTCACCTGTGGAATATCAAGGTCAAGAACATGACCATTTATTTTACTGTTTACTTCAACCACACAGCTAATCAGTAGGACATTAACAAATACTGCTCATCATGTTCAACTAAATAAATGCATGTGAAGCAAATAAATCATGTTAAGCAAACTACGAGTCAAAACTGAATACTGTTTAAACTTGAGAACTTAAATAAGCTCTATGTAACCAGTGTGGAAAAATTTAGAGACAGAAAACAGGGTAATATAAGTTAGTGATAAGTGACAGGTAGACGAATCAAAGATTTTCTACAGTCTTAATTTACTCATGATTCACCTATGATCATAACTTGTAAGATTTAAAGCTCTGGATTGAGAATCTGATCAAACTATGAACTTTCACAGGAGGTCCACGGACAACTTTGGGGACAAAACAGAGCGCCTGATCTAAATGTACCCCTGCCCCAATTCTGGGCATCCAAGTTTAACTTTCTGGAGTGTTTTGTTTTGTTTTTGAGACGGAATTTTGCTCTTGTTGCCCAGGCTGGAGTGCAGTGGCGCAATCTCGGCTCACTGTAACCTCTGCCTCCTGGGTTCCACTGATTCTCCTGCCTCAGCCTCCCGAGTAGCTGGGACTACAGGTGCACACCACCACGCCTGGCTAATTTTTGTATTTTTAGTAGAGATGGGGTTTCACCATGTTGGCCAAGATGTTCTCAATCTCCTGGCTTGTGATTTGCCTGCCTCGGCCTCCCAAAGTGCTGGGATTACAGGCATGAATCACCACGCTTGGCCTGAATCCAGCTTTTAACTCACTGTCATGTTCTCCAATTTATGTTCCCAGATTCTTCTCTTCCCTTTCTCTAGTGCCCAGCAAAATAATTTTCCCACCTTGGGTGTTTCCGTTACCCAGATAACATAATAGATATCTGCTTGTGGGATTTAAAGTGTGAGACGGAGGGCTAAAATAATAAACACATGAGAGGAAGCCAATTCATTTCTTAGGCTTACAGCAACACAGATGTATTGTTTACCATGAAATCTGTTTTTGCCAGCTCATTGCAATGTGGCTGTACGAAAACTCAATGGGGCAGAAGAAACTCGTCCTGGCACTCGCTGCCCCACAACGTGCTGCTGTCTTCAGAATGTTTCCCGTCAACTAGAAATGTACTTTCCATTTGTTTTAAAAAATAGCCAAGGATATAAATGTCTAATAAAAATAATCAGTGAAATCGTTGAACTGATTATTCACATGCATGTCATTTTTCCCTTCCTACTTTACAATCATAATCACGTACTAGTATAACCTATCATAATTTTCCTTACCACTTAAATTTTAATCTCATAGTGTCGTTCTATCTTTTGCAAGTTCCATGTTCCCTCAGCAGATCTGTGGCAATTTTATGCTACAGATATAAAAAGCAATAGGAAGGTACTGAACTTCTACGTCTCACCCACTACAGTCCCAGGCTATTATTACCTTTGTGTGTCAGTTTTCTAACAATCATCAACCAACTCTGCTAAAAATAAGGAGAAGTGAAGTACTTGACTTGGAGATTTTATCAGGACGGGCCCCACCAAAATAGATGGAATATTCAACCTGGACAAGATGAGAGAACCTCAATAAAAGGACTACTTGTAAGACAACTTCCCCCACACCCAGGGGCTCACGGCAGCAAGAGCAGAGCAGGGAACGGTTATGGGAACAGGGCATGGGGGTGGAGAGTGCGAAGAACCCGCTGCCGGGGTCATGGCCTTTGGCCCAGCTGTGCTTGCACTTCTGCAAAGTCAATGTCTAAGCTCTACTCTTTCTCTTTCACTAGGGACCAGGAAGTCTTGAGGCCACAATTCCAAGTTCTTGGACAAAGACTGAATGGAAAGGAGATTCTAGACCAAATGTGATTAAGATTTGGACAACTCCGGAGTTCCCTGACACTGAGTCTGACTCTATTTTGCTACATTAAGCTGGGTGTGTGGACTTAAAAAGAAAACTATGACACTGCATCTCATGTTTATAAAGGCTACATTCTAGATGCAAACTAAAAACAATAACCACATCAATCTGATAGAATTTCAGGGTGGGGAGGAGTGTTAGAGAAGAAATGTAAGTTAGAAAACTTTAAAGTTGAAAACTCTGCTAGGAAACACAAAGGCAAGTTTGAGAAAAGCGTGTCAGCAGTGTGTGCAGGGGTGTGTGTCTGAGAAAGGATGAGCAGGATGGCAGCCTGACCGCGTCTAAAGCACTGCCATGGTGAACAGGGCCAGGCTGTCGTCGTGCAACATGTTGGCGCCTGGAACACAGAAGGCCCCGTTCTCAGCACTGGGGACACGACATGATCGAGGCAGATGGCCTTGCACTAGAAAGCAGTGTGCCAGAGTGACAGACAGTTTCTAACCAACGATTTATAGAAAGCTGGACAAACAGTGACGTCAAGACATACCTGACAGGCTAAAAAACTAGTTTGAGAAAAGGGGAGTAATTTTCCCTTGAATTTTCCCTTGAATAATTCAAAAAGCTTACTGGGATTGGGAAAAACGAAGAGTTACCTCAGACTCACTGAGTTTCAGGACCTGACTGGAAGCAGCAGCAGCAACAGTGATTAACACGTCCTGGGCTACTAGGGAGGGGCCAGGCATGACAATGCCATTAAACTTCAGAAGTGCTATGAGGGTTCACTACTATTATTACTACCACCCAGTTTGTTCAGAAAAGGCAATAAAGCCAGAAGCACTTGATGAAGAGCAGGCAAACAGCTGAGCCGAGATGTGAACCCAGGGGTTTGATTTCAGAGTTTACCCTCTTAATAACTGTGCTACAGATTACAACAAAAACGAAACCACAGCACACACTTGCTGCACGTCCCCACAACTTCAGATCACCAATGAAAACCACCCGTCATTCAGTGGCTGCCATCAGCTAATGTCCCCATCTCCAATTCCTAACCCTCTGCACCTTCCCCACGCCCACGCTAGGCAGCAAGACTCTGGCAAACCGGCATATGGGCTCTTCGGGACTCAGTCCTCCCCTCCTGAGTCATCACTCACTCACCTGGATGGGTGGGTCAAGCGCACACACACAACAACATGTTTGCAGATAACAGGGGAAAGAGCTTGGGAGAGTGGTTCAATCTGTATCCTGACCCCTCGGGGTGACGTGGATGCCCGTGGAAGCTGACAAGCTGCTGAGTGTCACTCAGGGCTTCCTACTCTCTGTGACCCTGCTCTTCCCATACCTGGCACTAAGCTGTCTGGGGAGCTTCCATGTAATTACACAACCATACGTCTATGTGTGCTGAACAACAGCTGATTTTGACTTTTGTGCTTTCCTGTACTTTCCAAATTTTCTAGACTAAGTAAAGCCTTTGAGTCGGAATAAATTAAAGATGGCTTTGTTTTTCTCCACTCCTTCCTCACCTTTTGCAATGTGTAAACCAAGCTCCCAGGTACACAACTAAAGCTAGCATTAGCTTAGCTACTTTATGGTTACAAAACATATTTTATGCCTAGTTTGAGAACCTAATAACATTTGAAAAAAGAACCCCAAGTTCCAAGATGTACAAATGCCCCCTCTGAAAAAGCTCTTTCACTGAAAACTGCCTATATGTCAATTAGCTACTTACTATCTGGGTGTCTGTTGTGACCTTTTGCTGTAAGACTCTTAAGTAGGCCTCAGTTCTATCATCCACTTCAATCCTAGAATGAAAGTACACAATCCAACATTCAGACAAAGTAACGACAAATGGACCACGCATAAACACTTTCCTATGTAACACACGAAACATTTCTGTATAAAACATGAAATCAAACACCGAGACTAGCCATTCATTCAAAGGGCTGTTTCTAATACAAACAAGAGCAATAGTTGAAGCAGGTTTGAGAAACTGTCTGACTTGGTTGTTTCTCCCACCCATTCTTAGTTATTATAAAATATATCTGTTTATCTACATTACAGGGAGCCATATCAAATCTTTCAATTAAAATAACGTCGTTTGTATTTTTAACAGTTCCATCGCTTTCGAGTTCCCACCCCCTCCAAATGACTGCTAAGCAATTCTCAGAGCAGAAATGATTTGATTAACTTACATTATTGCTTTTTTCATTTGCATGCCCATGGCTGGTGTAACTTTAAACAGATTCTGTATCAATGAATTGGCTGCTTCATAATTTCTTCGCGTATAGATCAACAGCCAGTTATCTAGTGGCTTAACACTAATTAATGGTGCACCTCTTGTTTCTTTTGACCAATCTGCAAATTGTGGATTGTAATCAAACTAGAAGAGAGTTCAGACACACTGTAAATTCCATTGTAAGTTCTCAATCATCAAGCCAAAAAGTCTTCAATAATTCTACCCCGGCATATTTTGAAACTTAGTGTACTACTCTCATACTTGAATTAAAGGGACAGAGAAAATGTCCTCAGTAGGGGCAGAGTCTAAAACGTATCCAAAGGATGATGGCAATTTTATTTAAAATACACTCATACTGACAGCTGCTCCTCAAATGCTTACTTGGACCAGGTACTTCCCTAAGTGCTTTAGTTGCATTCTCCTTAATATTTTCAAAAATCTTACAAGTATAGCTACTCTTTTCTTCATAACGAAAATATTAAAAAATAAGGCTTTGAGAGTAAAGTAACTTGACTGAGGTGTTACATGCCACAAGCAAGCTACAAAAACATCTGACAGCAAGACAGACAGTGAAATAAACGCGAGGCACAGCACCCGAGTGCTGGTCATCACAGGGAGCAGCCTGGTGTCTTCTGCGTGTCCTGGCCGCCTCCCTGACTGGCCTCATGCAGGGGATAGCATAAACGATGCAACCAGAATATTAAGTTACATTGTGAGATCACTGTTCACAGTACATTTCAAAGGCAGGAAGGACACCATTTTCTACAAAAAAAAAAAAAAAAAAATTAAAAATGTTGGCACTTTACAGTGCTTTAATTACACTAAAAATATTTTTAGAATACTTGCTTTTCCTTTTCTGAAAACAAAACATAAAAGGTATCATAATAATTAATACATTATCTCTATAAACAAATGGTCCAGGCCAATCAAATCAGGGATTTTCCATCATTTTCATGGCAGTCAAAATACCAACCCAAGCAGATAGTTAGGATTCTACACTTTAGCTCAAGTTATTGAAAAAAAAAATAATAAAAAAATATCAAACCGCTTTTTAGCTAAGTCTTACAGATTATTTTTGAGGACCAAGCTACAGGCTCCACATTCTCTAGGGCTTCCACGTTTTCTCCTCCTGGGGTGTACCTATTTCTGAGGTCCTGGGCTGCTCACGTGGGTTGATAGAGAGTGGATGTGGAAGGGGAGAAGAGAAAGGTGAGGAAAAGATCATTCTGGCATGGAACTAAGTTATTCCCACTTGCTTTATTGTGATCTGACCCAAGTCTCACTTGATTGTCAACTTTAAAAATCTAAGCTCCTGCCTTGCTAGGAGCTTGCAGTGAGCAGAGATTGCGCCACTGCACTCCAGCCTGGGGGACAGAGCGAGGCTCCGTCTCAAAAACAAACAAACAAACAAAAAACTGTCTTACTGTTTTTCCACCTTGGTGAATCTTTTCTGTTTGCAAAATTCTTCCTGAGAAGGACAATAAGTTGGAATCAAAGCTCAAACCCCAGTCTCGAAGCTCCCTTTGAACATTATCGTTTCTGGAAATTTAACACATTTACATGCCACTAAACAAAGAGACACAGCAAAAAAACCCCAGTCAAACAGATATCCATTCTAGCCTACAACACATTCCAATGTCGCTGTCAGGGTTAAGGCGCTGGTGAGAATGCCAGCCAGCACAGGAGCACGATCATCCTTCTCTCACCACCTTCAGGCTTCTCTTCATGACATTGTTTAACTTAAAATTCTGATGCCCAAACTTTCTCCCCATCAAAAGAAACCCCTTGATATAACGAAGATAGGAAAAAGATTTGACCAGAAACATCTCCTTTTTCAGTTGTTACCTTTTTCTAACAGAGGAATTAGAAAGACTACGTGCTACGAAGCTTAACTTCATTATTTCCTGAGGAGTAAGTGAGGTGTAGGTAGCCTTGCTTAGAAACACCAAGAACAAGCCCACCCCAAATACTACAGATACAAAAGGAGAAAGTTACTTTCTGCCACCCCCTCAAAAGATACCCCTCAAAGCCACGTAAAATACTAAACCAAAAACGGAAACCATGCCCCAGTGAAATCAGCGACTTACTTATGGATGTAATCAATGAGTCTTCCCACTTCACGCTGCCTTTGCTCAGGAGTTAGTCTTGTATGAACGGCTAAGTCTTTCATCACGTTAAAATCATTACGCATTTTATCAGTGAGGCCTTTAAATCAGATTTCAAGGCACAGGTTAAAGAATTAATAATCAGGTCTAGATTTAAAGGCACAGGTTAAAGAATTAATAATCAGGTCTAGATTTAAAGGCACAGGGTTAAAGAATTAATAATCAGGTCTAAATAACTGGAACACAGGGTGATGGTGACCGCGAATCCCCAGGAGGCAAAGCAGTTTTAATAAAAGGTTTTCGGGGGAAGGGAAGGGGAAGTAAAGGGATGTCTGAGGACTCCTAGGAAAAAAAGGGTAAATCCAGTGGCTTCCTTCCAAGTAAACGAAATGCAACAGTACCTGTAAGATAGCAGAGCTCAGGAATGAGCATGGCAGGCCCTGGCAGTGTCCCCCCGGGGCCCCGCCTTCTCTTGGGCTGGCTGACCAAGACGGGCTGCTTCAAGTCGGTGATCTCCTGGTTGTATTGCTGCTCAAGAGAGGAGAGCGTCGCGGGTCACAGCAAATGCCTGAGTAGTATCTCAGCGGGCAAAAGGGGTTTCATTTTTTTAAAAAATAAAGAACTGATCCAATAGCAAGGCTGATAATAGCTCCAGAGTAAAGTTTTAAAAGGCACTTTTTAACCTTCTTAAAACAGAGGTTGTGATTTCTATGCTCTACTGACTGCCCCATCCTTTTCCTAAAACCTGTGGTGGTCCAGGAGAGTATAGTTCTGAGTCCGGGCTTGGTTCGTCACAGTTCTCGTTGCTTAATGCTTTATTTCTTGGTTTAGAAACAGTAGTCTGTGTAACTCTGCATCTTCACCATAGGATGATTCCTCTAAAACAATTTTCTGTTATTGTGAGAACTTACTTTTGAAAGCAGTCTCACTGTAAGAATAAAGAGGGGGAGGGAAGAATGCTACAGGGCATTTTTAATCAGAAAAAGTTTTTATAGTATCTTGATATTTTCAAGAAGTCAAATTTTGATTAAGTAGTATTAAATTTCCCCATATAAAATCACTGCCCAAAATAAGTGTTTACAATTTGTAAAACAACAAAAAATGACATTCGTGATTTTCTTTTTTTTTTGAGATGGAGTCTCGCTCTGTTACCCAGGCTGGAGTGCATACGATCTCGGCTCACTGCAACCTCTGCCTCCTGGGTTCAGGTGATTCTCCTGCCTCAGCCTCCCGAGTAGCTCGGACTACAGGCATGCACCACCGTGCCTGACTAATTTTGTATTTTTAGTAAAGATGGGGTTTTGCCACGTTGGCCAGGCTGATCTCCAACTCCTGACCTCAGGTGATCTGCCCACTTTGGCCTCCTAAAGTGCTAGGATTACAGGTGTGCGTCACCGCACCCAGCCAATATTCGTGATTTAATGTTCTCAAAAGATGAGTTCTCTGGCCTCCAGCTCAGCTCTGCAATTCTAGAACCATGTCAGACTTTGAGTTTTCTTCACTACAGATTCTGGTCCTGTGTTTCAAAGATCCTCTTTCCTACCATATCCTGTATCTTGCTGAAAACAGATTTTCTTAGCATCCTGCTTAATTCAGATCCAGCTTTAAAAAAAAAACAAAAAACAACAAAAAAAAAACCACACAGCTCCACCGGGCACCCCAGAAGAACAAACCACACAGCTCCACCGGGCACCCCAGAAGATCATCATCACAGCATGTCCTTAGTCTGTCTCTCATCAACAGACTAAGGGTACTTGCATATTTCTTATTCCTAGCATATGACAAGGTCCTGGCCATCTACTACAAACCCTTACGAATTAAGAAACCATGAATTCTAGCCCGTTCTCGACTTGTTCTGTATAGAAGCAACCATCCAGGAAAGACGTTAATTTTCTTATTTCAAATAAGAAAATTGTAAGTAGAAGAACACTCACATCTGACCTCTGCTTCACGTAGCTATATGACCTATTTTATCACACGTTTGAAAATGAGGAGTCTGGGAAGTTACCCTCCACACCACGTGCAAACACACACAGTGGAAGTGTGGTCGTATTTCAGAAGTGTGCCCTCTCACCCTGTTTCACCCAAGGCCTTAAGTGCATGGTTCCTGATACAGAACTTGCACTCACACTGCCCCACCCCCGCCACCTTTCATATTCTTAGGGTTGAAACAGCCTGTCATTCATTCATTCATTCCTTTATTTATTTGAGACATAGTTTCGTTCTGTCGCCCAGGCTGGAGAGCTGTGGTGCGATCTCAGCTCACTGCAACCTCTGCCTCCCGGGTTCCAGCGATTCTCCTGCCTCAGCCTCATGAGTAGCTGGGATTATAGGCACCCACCACCACACCCAGCTATTTTTTTTTGTATTTTTAGTAGAGATGAGGTTTCACCATGTTGGCGAGGCTGGTCTCATACTCCTGACCTCAGGTGCTCCGCCTGTCTCGGCCTCCCAAAGTGCTAGGATTACAGACGTGAGCCATCGCGCCTGGCCCTGTCAAATATTTTTAAACATTTTCCTCTACACCTGAAAAAACAGCACTCTCATTTTTACTAGACATTACTGTTAAACATTTTATTTTAAAAACCAACTATGACCTTCTTTTCCAAACACCCTTCTTCTACTCTGTTTCCTAGATATTATCTTTAATCCCAAACCATCACTTACTACTAAAACTGCATTTCTACCAGAAAATCTAAGAATGTTTTCTTTTAAATATTTCAACATCAACCTCTTTCATTAATTATTTCTACTAAAGACAGCTGATTATTCCTGATTTCCAGAGAAGTCTTCCCTACAGAAAGAAGCTGACCTGAGATCTCAAACACAAGCATACAGGGTGTGTCCAACAGAGGGGACACAGCCCTGTGTTTAGTCTAAGGGTATAGTGGGGGACATGCCATGAGAATAAAGCAGCAGGCAGAGTCTCACGGAGAAAGACCACCACACTTCACAAGGCACAGGGCCGCGGGCATCTCGGAGAAAGACCACCACACTTCACAAGGCACCGGACCACAGGCATCTCAGAGAAAGACCACTACACTTCACAAGGCACAGGGCCCCGGGCATCTCGGAAAAAGACCACCACACTTCACAAGGCACAGGACCACAGGCATCTCAAAGAAAGACCACCACACTTCACAAGGCACAGGGTCACGGGCACCACATCATTTCTAGGGGGAAGGGGAAGAAGAAGAACAGATGGGTACGAGTCGATTGATCACAAGGCAGAGGAAATAAATACTAAGAGACCAGTTAAGTGAATTATAAAAATAGGGCCTGGATAGGAGATGCCAGTCATTTAGAAAAGGAGAAAAATGAAGGCAATTCAGATAACAAGGTGAGTGACGGGTCTCGACAAAGAGGGAGTACTAGGAGGCAGGGGAAGGTGCAGAGATCTGACGTGTGACTCATCCACCATTTTTTTAATTCAAATACCTGAGAGCCTACTTAGGCACGGGGTATATAAATCATAAAATCTCTTGCCTCTGTTCAAGTTACCTTCTCTGTATTGACCAAGAGCACCGAGTAGGGGCCATGTTGGGAGGACAGAACACATTCAACACTGGCAACATAGGAGAGGTATCTTTGAGTCATCCAAATACTTAGAACAACCAGGCAGCTAAGCTTAGACAAGTCTAGGCTGGAACTGGAAGTCTGGGGATTCTTAACATTTCATGCCTGAAGCCTGGGCAGAGGAGAGTGGAAATCACCTAGGGAGTGAACATATAGTAAAAGGGGCCTGGGCAGAGCTCATTAGTATAACACGTAAAACACCACTTACAGGAGGATGAGCTGCCACAGGACACTCAGTACCAGTCAGGGAAGGGGAGACGTTCCACTGACCTTGCTTCAGGTTTAAATCACATTTTCAGCTGATGTTTCCTTCATATTTGCTGTTGATATATACCAACTTCTACCATCCCTAAGAGTGATTACTAAAATGAATGACAGAAAAATGCCACAACTCATTCCTCACAGTAACCTCTGACACCCAGAGGGATCCAGGTTAGGCATGGTTGGAGTCCTCAAGGAGTAAAGAGGCTGAAAACAGTGGGAGGAAAGGCATGCTGAAATGACCACTGGCTGTTTCCATCTCGCCAGGAATAAGGTCAGCCCTTCATGCAGCGTCTCATAGAATCCCTCCCTCCGCAGTGGCTTATGTTTTTAGTCACAGCCGAGCAGCTGTACAGCAGCACACAGACCTTTCCAACGCCACTGGTAAGATCCACACTTTCCATGCAAAATACAAATACTTTTCATATTTAAGCTAATTTATCCAAAATTTTAGAAACAGGAAATACTCTATTTAAAGTAGAAGAAGATGTGAAATGTTAGCAATTCAAAGACAAGTTTTGAGATTTTAATTGATAGTTTTCTAGAAATAATTTTCCTGCAACTTTAACATCAAATGGAATGTGACATTCTAAGGATCTGGGGACCAGATCTGCTCATCTCTGAATACTAAAACAATGTTGGCATGCATTCCTATATAAACAGTTTAATTTCTTCTAGTCAATAGTTGTTCTTTCTTGCCATTTGCCTTTGATGGTCTTTTCAAAACTAGAATCATCTCTTTAAAAACTGTTTTAGATGATCGCCCAAAAGATCAGTCTTTTGTAAATCAAAAGTTAAGAGTTATAACCCACAGGCAGCAGATTTAGCAGAAATGATACTGAAGGTTCCAAGATCTTTAATTCCCACCCCTGTCCAAGGTGAAATTAAGTGAAATGTTGATTATGGAGGGAGAAGACAGTATGGCAAGCTCTTAATTCCCACTGCTTACCACCTGTTATCCAACCTACTTGTCCTCCATAGGCTTCAATTCAAATGTAAGCTTTCATTCTACTGGAAAAAGGGAACCAAGACAGGGCACTTCTCATTATGTGAACTGTACCAAATAAAAAGAGGCATTTTAATAAATCTGATAATGAATAAAATTATGCTGTGATTGCCCTAACAAATACATTTACACACAGCTTTAAAAGCAACTTGTTCCAAATGTGCAACACGTGTTAGAGAATTCTACCAAAGATATTTTGGATTTCTCCTAAGATTCAACTACTTTCCTAAGATATAACTACTTCATAGGAAAAAGATAACACCACTAGCATCTTACCTTCCTGTAGTATTCTAGGAAGCTGACTTCAGAGCCGTCGGCTTTCTTAAAGGTGCTCTTGGGATTCTGGTCCCAGTCAATATCATCCACTCTGTACGTTTTATTGTTATACCTAGGGATCAGTTGAGATTTGACTGCATTTGATGGAAATGTGAAGAACTAATATTAAAAAGAGAGACTAGACAGCATGTATTCTCTAAAATTTCAAATCACCTGGGTATATACAAAGTTATGGAAAAAGAAGGAAACAGGATTTCTTACAGACTCTGCCAGATGGATGGGGGAAGTGACTAAATTACTAACAGAAAATAAAATAATTTAAAAGGGTAAAAATCACTAGCTATTTGTCCTCTCCAGATGAGTTATGTTACCCCCAAAACTATGATCCTGGGAAAAGTGAAAAATACCGTCACCCTTTTTTGTGCTATTCCCACCACTCAACTTGAAACACTATTTCTTAACATTGTAGAACTACAAAGCCACTATACTTTAAGACTCACAAAAATTATTTTGCATTTTAAAAAGCAGTCTTACTTGGTAAGAACAACTAAACCTATTAGTTCTTTGGAAACTTGTTCTTGAAATTTATGTTCTTCTGTCTGATGATAAAAGTTGAACATGAAATCCAAAACAGTCTCACTTCGAAGCACTTTATGGCTAACGTCAGTGCAGAGCATAATGCTGTTTTCATACTGAAGGATGGAAGTAGTGAAGCCAGGCCAAATCACCAACCTGTCAGGCAAGATGGGGGTCATGAAGAACCTCTCCACATTCAAACACATTCTGCACACACTAAGTTGCGTTTTCACTTTTATTAACTGGGTCTAAACTGTAAGTTTTTGAATGAATCAATTTCCTTATTTCTAGGATTTACACGGTTCCAGCTTTAAGACCTTCAATATTATAATAATTGTATAAGTTTCATTTTAAATGAATGTACTAACTTTAATCAACTATTCATTACAGTGGTCTAAGACTTTAAAAAGCTGCCAATCCAATTGAAAGCACCTACAATTACTATGATAAACTTAAACCTGTTGGGCTGCAATATTTTATTTCTTTTTTATTTATTTTTTTAGACAGAGTCTTGCTTTGTCGCCCAGGCTGGAGTTGGCGTGATCTCGGCTCACCGCAACCTCCGCTTCCCGGGTGTAAGCACTTTTCTGCTTCAGTCTCCTGGTTAGCTGGGATTACAGGTGCCCGCCACCACACCCAGCTAATTTTTGTATTTTTAGTAGAGACAGGGTTTCACCATCTTGGCCAGGCTGGTCTAGAACTCCTGACCTCGTGATCCACCCACTTTGGCCTCCCAAAGTGCTGGGATTACAGGCATGAGCCACCGCGCCCAGCCATTTATTTCTTATTTCAACTTTAGATTCAAGGGGTGCACGTGCAGGTTTGTGACACGGGCATACTGCACAATGCTGAGGTCTGGGTACGAAAGGTCCTGTCACTGAGGTGGGGAGCACGGTACCCAGCAGGCAGTTTTTCAGTTGGGCTGCAATCTTGATACACCACATTAACTATTTTTATTACCTGAGGGCAAAAATACAAACTTAGCACTGGACAACTATGTATTCTTCCCTAGTGACAGGTAAATTATGTGTTTTTTTTTTTAAATCCAAATATTCTGGGATGTCTCCTCATTATTCAAGTTAAATAGTCACATAATGTGATGGGTGGCATTAACAGTCACTGTAGTAAATTCGACCATTTCAAATTAGATTATTATCTCAAAAGCTTGTAATTAAGCCTAAGGAATACTCAACTTTCCACTTCATACAAACCTGTGACTTGGAATATCAATTGGGTCATTTGGGTTATAATAATTTCGTCCAATTTGTTGCAAATTCATGATTTTCAAAAGCCTAAAAATTGAAAGGTCAGAATAGTGAATATTGATAAATATCTCCAATACGGCAATCAGAACAGCATGTTGTTTAGAGCAGGGGTTGGCAAACTGTGGTCTGTAGCCAGGCCAAATCCAGCCTACCGGCTGTTTTTTATGGCCTATGAGTTAACAATGGTTTTCAAATATCCTTGAGGTTGGAAAAAATAAAAGATTATTTCAGGACACATGAATTATCTGAAATTCAGATTTCAGCATCCACCAATAGTTTTACTGGCACACAGCCATGACCGCTCACTTACACACTGTCTCTGGCTGCTTCGGTGGTCCCGCAGTAGAGCGGAACAGCTGCAAGAGATGACACGGCTTTCAGAGCCTAAGATGTTTACTATCTGGCCCTTTGCAGAGAGAAGTTTGCCAACCCCTCATTTAGGGAAAAATAATCTACCAGTTATATTAACTGAAAACGAGTATTTATCACAATGAATTGTCCTATCAGTGTCAGTTATCACTAACTTAAATTAATACAAGTATTCTGCCCCATTATTCTCACGAAAATTTCAGCCTCATCCGGATTGTTTCTCATTCCCCTCAAAAAATAAAAATTTTTGCAGACCATGTGTCTTGCTTTTGGATTGGGAATATGTGGTATGTACCCTGAAAGCAAATTATCCAGCACGCAGTGTATCTCCTGCAGTGGAACAAGCGAGCTGAACTCTGCCCTCCTCCTGACCAAGGACCCACTGTGGGGAGCAGGAACACCAAGTCTGCAACATCCTCACTCTCGAGGATATGAGCGTCTGAACACAAGCTCAGACAGCATTTGAAGTCAACAGACTTAGGGAGGGAAAGGCAGGATACTTGCTTAAAGCAAATAGATGAATTTTCTATCAGTAAACCACACCTTAAGTTACTGCAATACAGAGAAACCCAATAATCTCAGCCAACGTTGAAAATCTAGGAGACTTGAATGTAGATGATCAATGTACAATTATTTCAACTTTGCTGGTTTTCCTCTTAATAAAATGTTGAAATAAAACACATACCTCCTGAAAATAATATTATAGAACTGCAAACAAGTTGGCGATGTAGGTGGAAGTTCATTTGTTAAAGTGATCGTTATCCTCACATCCTCTCCGTTCCGGGTCTTACTGAAAACTTCAGTAACCTGAAGCCAGAGAGGTGGAAACCCAAACTTTAAATCCTGAAAGGACAACTCTGCCCAATCACAGACCGCTTGCTTAATAAGGCAACACTGAAAACCATAAAATGTTTCAACTGGATTTTTTTTAAATGGCTCTGAGAAAAAGAGTGGCTACCTGTATTGTAATTCAACTGTAACCATCAAGTTATCCAGACAAATCTGACAATGCTACAATAATGCCAAAGTACCCTATGTGTTTATTCCGTCACATCAGACAGGAGACTCCTGGGGTCTCTCTAAAAGCCATGTGAACTATCTTACATGGTAGTAGTTTTGCCTTGAGGTGGAAATTCCCCATCTCCCTTTTGCCAAATAACCTTTTGCTGTAGTCTTTTAGGTAAAAATAATATTGTTCCATCAAAAGCATGACACTTTCCAATGAGATCCTCATGTTGAAAAAGAAGAGCTGAACGGAGTCGTCTGGCTTCCATCAGTGGGTTATAGTCAATATGATACTGATATAAGGCCCACTGGGGACGGGATGTCAGTCGGAAATGGTTAGTGCTTAACCTCACTATGATGCCTGAAGAACCTGGAAAAGCAAGTTACAGTCAATTAACAAAATATCAAGTTTATTTTTCCTTGAAACCTTCCTACCATGACAAGGCAGGCACAGTTCCGTAAACCAAGGCTAAGAGCAGCAGACAGCATCCGACTCTGGAGACCACTAGTCTACCTCTTTAGGTGAATTTCTAAAGAAGCATACATTCAGAAACAGATCTTCCTTAGACTAAGTAATTTACAAATAATTTTGCAACAAAATCAACCAAATCTCTTCATGGCAAAGAGTTCTGAAAGTAATCTATTAATATTTAATGAGATGACGTTTCAAAATGTGCAGTTCAAGATATTATCTATAACCTATTTCATCAACACCAAAAGAAACAGAGAGAGGAAAATGCAAAACCCATGCAGGATCCTTGACCGAATAAATACCTGAAGTGCCTCAATTCACTGTCCTGTGTACCTGAGACGTAATCTCACAAAAACTTATTCTTAATTAACCTACCTGTTTTTGATTCTTTAACATGGTCTAGGTTCTGCCTTGTATTCACACCAAGATCATGAAAATCTCTACGACGACCTCCTCTCTCTGCTAATGATAACTCCTGAAATCCAGCAGATATTTGGAGTTCTTAAAAAAGAAGAAAAATTATCTACTTGAAATAAAGTACGAAGTAAAGGATGACAACATTAACTCCCACAGTGCTAATATATGTAATCCAAAGGATACTGAGGTGTAGAAGACAACGCATAAAACAATCCTATCAACATGTTTTCAGTATCTGCCAGCCTAACGAGAGAACGGTTTCCTATTTATAACTTCATTCATAAAGGCTTTCTTGTTACTGTGCTGGGAAGTTGCAGATGCACTCTTTCAAGAGATGTACACCTTGAAAAGATCAAGCCGGCGGGACTGTGGTGGGAGAGTGCAGGAGCATATGTTTGCTGACTGGGAAAATATTTTTCTGTATTGTAAGTCTAATAATTATCTAAAGGTCTTCATGTATTTTCCACAGTCTGTCATGATGCAATTACAGCTACAGAAATTGGTGGCTTAGAGGGTTTAAATCTGTAACCTGGATTAGAAAACTTACATCTAAAATGCAACTTCCTCACTACCTGATTCCATTCAGTATCAGAAGAATGGATTTCTGCATCTGCACATATTCTATGGCCATGACACGCATCTCATACTGGTAATAGGTAATAAGCTTGTGACTAATCAGTTCATGCCTACTGCTACAAGCTGTGGTTATAAGAACCTAAATTATTCAAGTCATTTGATTTGCTGAAATTATACAATTATCTCAGATAAACAATATGATGTGAGCCAAAAAACCAGTATGAACTTTGTAGTCAAGTGTTAAAATTCCAGCTGTCAATTAATAGGCATGTTATCTTTTGTAACAGAGATTACCAGTTGACTATCCAATAACCAATCCCTCATTCTTTAAAAAAATTCTATTTTGGGAATAATATACTTAAATAGACCAAAATTTCCACCCTCCCCATGGTTAGGGATGGCCTAAGAGACTTAAGCAGAAATTGTAGGATGACCCTTTTGGAAACATTCCATAAGACAGCCAATAGCTGACTTGTGACTTTTGTACTTCCTGCCCCTTTGCCCTGCCCATGGAGCCTGGAATCTGGATCTGGCAGGGAGGGCTCGAATACAGAAGTTCTGAACCAAACAGAGGTCTTAATTATGGCCGTCATGGGCCCAGGACAAAAGAACAAAAAGATCAGAGTCCAGTTCTCTTCTGACCACAAACACCAGAACTGCCTACTTTCTAGACTTCCTCAGAGAAATAACAGTGGCTTAAAATATTTCAGTTCTTGCTGTACTTTGGAAACCAGTTATTTAACATGAGCGTTGATTCTTTCACCTGAAAAATTGAGAATAAGCATCACAAGCATGCAATAAGTTTTAAATATCACATCTAAAGCACTTTAAAAGGCGCTTCCATGTTAGTTTCTGTACCTCATGATTTGGAGGGGGCTCTACCTAAAAATCCTTTAAATATGTAACCGTTCATATTTGTCTCTCTTAGTGAGTTTTTTATCCCAGAGACTTGGTTTAAAGTATTGATGACACTGGGTGAGTAACTACATTAAATCATGCATACTGAATCCAACCTGATGACACTGAAGGGTCATAAAGGCTGATTTTTTTCCTTAAAAATTTTTAATTTGTCTTGAAAAATTTGGTTCTGGATGCAAAAATCCAATTGCCAGTTTCTGAATAAAAACAATGATGAAATCTGTTCTGCTTGAGATACACAGTGCTGCTATGACACCGAGCCAAAGCTTGATTTTGTCACTCGAAGAGGACAGATTTCAGAATGGACAAGACTGGGAACCTTGCTAATTCCCCCTTCCATGCGGCTCCCAGAGTGATTTATTTCAAACACAAATCAGAGCTCACGCCACTGTGCTGTTTAAGAACCTTTCGGTGCATCCACATCCCCTTTACAGAAGGAAAATCAAGGTCCAAACAATGTCTAATTGGCAATAATCTGTTAAACGTATATTAATTTCTACAAAACAATAGGTACTTGGGCATTTACTGTGACAAGCAATTTGCAGGTATAATCTCCAAAGAGCAGTGAAAGATGACAAAACAGGGCCTTCATTTGTTATCCCAAGTATTAGTTAATGGCCACAATGATCTTTACCTTTACAGGTAGACACTACCTTGTTACAGATAGGGAACCGTTTCATAGAGTTAAATTTGAAATCCTGAGTAACCATTTTCTTTTTAAGTCATTTACTGGTGAAGACTGATACATAGAATGTTTAAGAAATTAGATTTAAGTGTTTTCCACAATTGTATTTGCATGTTATGGCAACATTATAAGGAAATGTTTCTTAAACAGTTTCAGCACAAATTTTTGTGCCAAGTTTTAATTCAATAAAATTTGCTGCATATGTTGAACACAGTTGTTAAGACTTCCTGTTACTTTCTCTTCACCTTGTGACTTGGCTGTTCCTCCTACTGTTCCTCTCTGCCGTCCACGGCCAAATAACTCCCCCTCTGCTGGTGGCTGCTGAGACCTAGGCTGAATATAACCAGGTTGCTGACTCTGTAGTTATAGAAAAATAAAGAACATTCTTTTTGTCAAGCGGTCACAGACACCAGAGAAAATGTCCAGCCTTAAGTCTCAGGAATTCAACCAACACCTATCTAGATTAATAATCAAATAATTTATTCTTAAAAAGAAATTTGAGAGAAGAGTCACCAAATAAAGTCATGAATCAGCTTCTAATATCCTGAGGAAACAGGACATGATCCGCCTTGCTCACTCCCTATATCCTTCCCAGCACCGTCTTTAGTTTATTTTCAACAGCCTAGGCTGATCAAGATTCAAGGACATTTTCTGTAGTCAGAAACGGTGAAACACTCACAGCAGTGGAGCCCACCAGCGGCACTGTCTCCTGACCGCGGGCCCTTCCTCTGGCTCTGGCTCTGGCTCGCCCAGTCATTGTTTTCTATTTCTGGAGAGGAAACAATCTTGAAGACAATAGTCAACGGAGGCAACTGCATTTGACCATTTCTACAATGTTACTTTAAACTTCTTTCAGATTCAAAAGTAAGCTCGCCAGGCAATTAGTATGTATCCTTCTAATCTGTAATGACAGTTTTTTAATGTAACATTCCTACATTCAGCAAACTCAGTTGCCTACCTTGCACTGGGCACTGCTGTAGGGCCAAAGGGGAAAACGTATTTTAATAGAAGACTTAGTTTTTCATTTGGATTATTTATTATAAACAGACTTAGGAGGAGAAAGTGCTGAAAGAATTAACATGCTGGTGGCTGGTTCTTTCCCATTTGGAGATACACATACACACACATACACACATACACACACACACACAGAGAAACAGGGCACTTGTGGCAAGTGTCCCGCCAGGCCCCTTAGACAATCCTTCTGCATACATAATGAGTTCTCTGGGATCTTCCCAGAGTTCCATGTGTGGCTTACGCTAAACATACCCAAACTAGTATCTCTTCTACCTCATGTCCCCATAATCTCATTCTTGGGGAGTGGCATCATCACCTACGTTGTATCTACATAAAAAGAATGGAGTCATTGATTTCAAAACTACTTTATTTCTCCTACATCTGCCAGGACCATTCTCCTCATTTCTTCAACATCATGGTGGCACTAAGTGCTTCCTGTGAGCTGGGATCAGCTTTGGGCTCAGCTATGACAGCCTCTCACCCTTGCCGCGGTGGTACACAGTGTCATCAGGCTATTAAGCGTAGAGGTCTCGGAGCTCAACTGCCTGAGGCCAACTCCTTCACATTTTGGACAACATGAGAAAACGACATAGCCTGTGACTCTTTGTCGAATGGTTGGAATAACCCACTGCACAAGTCAATGGTGAGGATCAAATGAGAACTCACACTGACCTCCGGTGAGCAGTCAACAAACATTAGCCCTAATGGAAAGGGCAGGTAAAATCGTAACTCCACGTGTTAAAAAGTGTGATGAAGGAAATAAGCAGAACGTTCTTACCAAAAAGAAAGTAGGAACTGATGTAAACCCTAAAGAGGCCTGCCTCTAACAAGACTTAAGCTGAAATGGAGAATCAGGAATCGGAAGGCAGGGTGGTACCAGTCTTCCACACAAGCGGTAACAACCCACACGTAAGTGCTTGAATTGGATGCAGAACCAAAAGACGCCCAGTGGGACTGGAAAGGGAAGGAACAAGGGGAGCGGAGGAATTCATGTGGACAGGGCGCGGACTGCTCAGGGTCCTGCAGACAGCTTGGATACTCAACACATGAGAAACCATCAAAGGTCCTACATGGGGCAGGCGATGACATCATTTACCATCACTCTGCCTTAAGTCACGTTATCTTTTTCATCCTTTGAATTTTAACAGCTTCTAAAATTCTTGGCTTCATGATCTTCACAGAAAGACAAATCTAATGCCATTTTTCAATTTTAAAAACCTCTGACTTCCTATTGTATTTTACAGGATTAAAGCAAACATTCATCGTATAAGACCCCCTACTCTAAATCAGCAATTTCCAAAGGAGTTTACACAAGATAATCCGCTGAGGTGCCAGCATATTACAACTAACTTTAAACCTCATGTTAAACTGCTTTATATTTATTTTACAATGTGTGCATCATGACAATGGTTACGTATGCATACTCAATTTACACACTGGACACATGGTGCATGAAAGTCTCTTGCCGATAATCCACAGGTAGCGTCCCTAGCCCGCCGGCCATGGACCCGTACGGGAACCAGGCCACACAGCAGGAGGTGAGCAGTGGCAGCAAACGTGACAGCCTGAGCGCCCCTCCTGTCAGATCAGTGGAGGCATCAGACTCTCCTAGGAGCGTGAACCCTACTGTGAAGTGGCCGTGCCAGGGATCTGGCTTGCATGCTCCTGATGAGAATCTAATGCCTGATAATCTGAGGTGGAACCATTTCATCCTGAAACCATCCCCTACCAGTCAGTGGGAAAGTTGTCTTCCACGAAATCGGTCCCTGGTGCCAAAAAGATTGGGGACTGCGGATCTAGAGATCAGTCTGAAAGCACCTGCCTGAGACGCCAGCAAACACTACTTGCTTCCTATCACAATCAATTCCGTGACTTACCCTATACCACAGCACAGTCTCTGCTAAACAAAGCCTCGCCCTCCTCTGAAATCACAAGAATCCAGTGAACCACTTAAGGACCAGCTCGCAGGCCATCCCTTGCCCCCTTCTCTGAAAGCCGTTTCCCCGACGTGGCCACGGTCACTCTACTACATGGTAACCTGCTTTCTCCCTCTGCACATTCCTGCACTCCATAGCTTCTCCAACTAGGCTGCGAATTACAATTGACGCCTTTGCACCCAGATGGCCGCTTGACACCTTACAAACAATAGTGTGAAATAGTGATAAAAAAAAAAAACAACAAAAAACAGGGACGAGGTGAACTCTCATCTCCAGCAGGAAAAGCAGTTCTCAAAGCCTGTTCCCTGACAGGCAGCATCTGGACTGGCTGGTAACAGAAATTACGGGGTGGGGAGCGGCTCTCAGCCCTGGCGAGTTAGCAGCCGGCTGGAAGCAGCCCTCCAGCTGATTCTCATCATCTCCAGGGCCTGAAACCCAGGGCGGCGCGCTGTGCTGGTCACTAAATACCTGGCGGGCCCAGCGCTCTACGTCCAGGTTTCCCAGCACAACTCCGGTTTTCAGCTTTATCTCCTTCCAATCTCAAAACCACCTCAGTCTGGATATCGAATTCTTAAAGTCAGAAAACAAGTGTGTGCTTCCAATAACCACACTCGCTGGAAATCACATGCCCAATTCATTACCAGCTCTGCCAAAGGCTCTTCCACCTAACAACATCCCTCCGGCGCTGAGCTCAGGACGACGCCACGCACGTGGGAACCACCACCGCGCCACACGCCTAAAACCGTTGGGCGGTACATTCTATGCCAGCGGGTTCTCTCTGGCCACAACTTAAAAACGAAAAGGAAAGCGCGCAGAGAACAGGCTGCGCAGGGCTCCAGCCGGCTTTACCCTGCAGGCCGCAGGGGCTGAAGACAGCGAGAGCATCCATCCCGGGAGCTCCCAAGGCCCCCGCCGCCCCGCCGCCCCTTTCCCTCCACAGGTGCCAGGGGCCCGGCCGCCAGCACCCGCGAGAACCCCCGAGCCTCGCAGAGCCCGGCCCTTGTGGTCGCCGCCTCACTTGCGGTCCTCCGGAGCTCCGTCCTCTTCCCAGCGTCCGGCTCCCAAGGCTCCCGGGGACAGAGCGCAGCGGCTGCACACGCGGGAAGGGGGCCTCGCCCTCCGCAGAGATCGCGTCCCGCGGCCGCGTGGGTCAGGCGGGACGTCCCGAAGGCCCTCCTGCAGGGCTCCCGGGTCCCCGCAGTTTCAGGCACTGCCGCCACTGCGGAGACCTCTGTCCCTGACCCCCGCACCCCCAGCAACTCAGGCCTCAGCCTTTCACCCCAGCCCCTGCACCCCCCGCACCTGGGACCTCACCCCCGCACCCTGGCCCGTGTATCCCCGCACCCCGGCCCCTGTACCCCCGCACCCCGGCGCCACAGCCCCGGCAGGTCGGGCCTCAGCGCCTCACCCCGGCACCGCACCCCCACACCTGAGACCTCGCCCCCGCACCCTGGCCCCTGCACCCCCCGCACCTGCGACCTCGCCCCCGCACCCTGGCCCCTCGCCCCCACACCCCGGCGCCACAGCCCCGGCTAGGCTCAGAGAAGCCTGATAAACTTGGGGCGAGATCTCACAGGTCCCGCCTGGCCCCGCCCAGACACCCGGCATAGGCCCCCTGCAGCCCCCGCACCTGCAACCTTGCCCCTGCACCAGGGCTCCTGCATCCCCTGCACCTGGGACCTAGTTCCCGCACCCGGCTCCTGCATCCCCCACACCTGCGACCTCGCCCCCGCACCCCTGTCCCCACACCTCGGGCCTCACCTCCACATCCCGGACCCCTGGCCGCCGCCCCCGCACCCCGGTCCCCGCACACCTAACACCTCAGCCTCGCCCCGCACCTTGGACGGCCGCCCTCGCCCTAGTCCTGGTCCTCGCACCTTAACCCGAGGCCAACAGCCCCAACGGCTCCCGCGGAGATCCCTCCGCGCCGCCGACTTCCCAGGACCTCCTGCGGCCTGCGCCCACCTCGCCTTCGGTGCTGGGTTCCCGAGAAAGCCAGGGACACGCGGGCGGCGGGCAACCGGCGCTCTTTCCCTGGGCGGATGAACACTTCATTCCAGACGCCGGCCTCGTGGCAGCGCACCATACGCCCAGTAACGGCGGAAAGCGGCGCGCGCCACGCCCTCACTGGCTGCCCAGCGAATGGCGGTTTTCAATGTAGCGGGCGCGGGACCAGATGAGCCCGCCCCACAGGCCGCGGCCCGGGCCCCGCCCCTCCAAGCCCCCGCCTGGTCCCTCCCAGACCCCCCGCACAGGCCCCACAGGCCCCGCCCCCGCCTCACAGGCCTCGCCTCTGCCCCTCGGAGACCCCGCCTGGCCCCGCCCACACACCCCGCACAGGCCCCACAGGCTTGGCACGTTCCGCCCCACAGGCCCCGCCCCCGCCCCAGAGGCCCCGCCCCCGCCTCACAGGCCTCGCCTCTGCCTCTCGGAGACCCCGCCTGGCCCCGCCCACACACCCCGCACAGGCCCCACAGGCCCCGACCCCACCCCTCCAAGACTGCGCCTGGTCCCGCCAGACACCCCGCACATGCCCTGCCCCCTCCCCACAGGCCCCAGCCCGCCCCACCCAGGCCCCGCCCTGTTCCTCTTATGCTTCGCCCAGACCCCTGGCCTTCGCTGGCTTGGCTCCTGCAGTCCCCCAGTGCGAGCCCCCTGCAGGCCGACACAGGGTCGGGCCAGTTCTTTACTAGCTCATGGAACGGGGCAGCGGTGCACGAAGCTGACCCTCCATGGACCTCGAAATTGTGGCCACGTGGGCACCGAGCGCCCCTCAGTGGACTCGATCTTGGGCTGGCCCTTAACGTCGAAAGCTCTTTCACTCATCACACAGAGATTTGAACTTTGCCTCCAAAGTAAATAAAGCTGCAATGCAAGTCTAAGATGCCGGGCGGCCGTTACCTAGAACCTTAGCTTTCAATGACTTGTGCCTTGGGTGCCTGCCAACGTGGACCGCAGGGGTTCTCAGCCCTCACCTGAGGGAGATCACCTGCAGGGCTGGCTGGGACGCAGACCAGAGATTCCGGGCTGCAGGTTCCGCAGGTGGGGCCCGCCGGCTGCATTTCCAAGGCGTCGCAGGTGGTACTGACCGGATCTACGCCGAGCTAGGTGTTCTCCATAGGAGTTAATTTCCTCATTGAGGCAAAGCCAACAGCCACAAAACAACCGGAAATATTGTAAGATAGAACAGGTTTATTTGTCAAGGTGGAAGTGGGACCGAGGCTCACTGCCTGACTTATGTTCCAGAACTATAAAGATGATTGTAGGAGGTAGTAGAAATATGGTCGCCTCTGCAGAAAAGTTTTAAAGCTGTATTTATACGGTAAATATAGTGCTTTTTCCTTTTTTTTTTTTTTTTTTTTTGAGACGGAGTCTCGTTCTGTTGCCCAGACTGGAGTGCAGTGGCAGGATCTCGGCTCACTGCAACCTCCCAGCCTCCTGAGTAGCTGGGACTACATACAGGCACCCACCACCATGCCCACATAATTTTGTGCTCTTTGTTTTGTTTTGAGACAGGGTCTGTCTCAGTCAGGCTGGAGTGCAATGGTGTGATCATGGTTCCCTGCAGCCCCGACCTCCTGGGCTCAGGTGATCCTCCTGCCTCAGCCTCCCCTGTAGCTGTTACTATAGGTGTGTGCCACCACACCCAGCTAATTTTTGTGTATTTCTTGTAGAAAGAGGGTTTCATCATGTTGTCCAGGCCGGTCTCAAACTTCTGGGCTCAAGCGATCCACCCATCTTGGCCTCCCAATGTGCAGGGATTACAGGCATAAGCCACTGAGCCCAGCCTACATATTGCTTATCACTCATACTTAAAAGCAGATGCTTGGGAATTGGGGGCTGGAGAGGGCTGATGGCTCCCCAAGTCACCTTCCAAATCTTATGTCTCATCTGTGCCATGAAAGGGGCAGATTAGATGTCAGCGTTTCCCACACTAGCCTGAGTGTAAGCATTCACTGAGGGAATTTCCAAATAATACAGACTCCCAGATCATGCTGATTCCAGGAGGTCTGGGATGGGTGCAAGGAATTTTAAGAAGTACCATTGTTATTCTTATGCTCAGAGAAGCCTGATAAACTTGGGGCGAGATCAGAAGGCATTGGAAGTCGGTAGTATGAAAGAAAAATAGCTTTCCAAAGGCGTTCGCTTTGTAAAAACTAAATGCTGCCTTTTGGAATACAATGTGAACATAACTTTTCCGAGGATTTAAGGTGTTGATGAGAAACGTTCTGAAACCTGCCAGCAGATGGAGCTATAAAACTAGAAACATGTTTACAGCCTCAACTCGGGAGAAAAATACCATGAATGGACCTTACACTGTAGAAATAACACTTTTCCCTCTGCTTTATTTTCTCTATAAGCCTAAACTCCTTGCCTCTGCTAAAGAACATCGCTGGAGTGTCTTTGTGTGTGAAGTATGAAATAGTTTCTAAAGATACGAGTTGTGATATAACAAGACAGAGGCAAAACCCGTAATTCTTCTGAGAGTGTAAACATCATGTCGCAAGAAGCTCACTTAACATTTAAATAGGAAAACTCAAAGAAAAATTGAAAAGAAATTCAAGGGAAAAAATGTGACCTTTAAAAGTTTCTATGTTGACAGCACAACCAGGACCCCTTCTGGGATCAGAAGCTATGAATGCTATGCTATTTGTAGCATAAAAATGAATAGATACAGATTCTTTTTCCGGGAGCCACATCTGGAGGGGTGCACCCACCAAGGAAGGTGAACAGAGTGCCACCAATCCTGTGGGTGCTCAGAGGGAGGTTGCTGAGGGATGCTTCGTGACTCAATGCTGCTGAAGCCCTAAAGGCTGATTTGGGTTTGCAGGGAGCAGGAGGATCGGCATGGCGGGGCGTGTTGGGCTGAGCACATGTGAGGTATTTAGAGAACTGCATGTCATCCAGCACAGGAGGAACACCAGGTCCAGGCAGGGGAGTCACAGGAGATGATGCTGCAGAAGGGACAGACCGGGTTCTAGAAGTTGGCAGGCAAGGAAATGTGAGCATCTGGACTGCTGAACGCACCTTGTTAAGTGCTGTGAATAAAACACACTCTGTCCTCCCGCTGATGGCTCAACAAGGGAAGCAGGGACTGTGGCAGTTGGGAACGTGGATGCTGACCTGAAGGGCCAGTGGCTGCTGAGCCCTAGCCAGTTACCAGGGGAAAATGAAGGCTCAGATTTGCTGGGCCTCACCTGATGGCTTTGGTTGGCTATTTTTTTTTTTAATTGAGGTGAAATTCACATAACACGACATTAACTATTTTGCAGTGAACAATTCCATGATATTTAATGCATTCATAATGTTATGCAACCCCTTACCTCTAGTTCCAAACATTTTCATCATCCCAAAATAAAATTGTCACTCTCCAGCTCCCTCTCCCCCTACTACCCTGGCAGCCACGAATCTTTCTGTCTCCTTTTCTGTTGATTTCATAGAAAAGGGGTCATACACTAGGTGGCCGTTTGTGTCGGGCTTCTTTCTCTCAGCGTCGTATTCTCAAGGCTCACCTACATCGTAGCCCGTGTCAGAGTTTCCGTCCTCCTCATGGCTGGATCTTCCTCTGCTGTTTGGGTGGACCACATTTTGTTTATTCCATTCATCTATTGGTGGACAGCTCAAACGTTTTTAAAGGGAAGCAGGAAACTTGGACATTTCTGATGCATTTTTAGGAATGGCCACCAGCACTCACTAGTGTTGGGCGGAGGAGCATCCCAGGGAAGGGAAACAGAG